CAGCGTACCACAGATGGACACAAAATCTGAGCTCTGTCCATTGGGAAACGTTTATACATTTCCATATGGAAATAATTTGTTCATGTTCTGTAAAACATCTTGGCATTCTGAGTGGTTTTGATTCGATTTCTGATAAAAGTGAATGTTTAGGTACTAGAACGAATTATTTTTCAACCACTTCAAAACTTAATGCCCTGTCTCTGTTTGGGTCCAAAGGTGCCTTGGAGACATGTTGAAAGAAAAACTTAGGAAACTCCATCCTGGAAACTATTCTGTTGCTTATTTGTTTTGCCCAACCTAAAGTCTGAATGTGCTAAACCAGTTCAGTGAAGACCTCTTCTGAAGAAAATCTTTGGAGAGCAATCCTCCCGTTCGCTCTCCTCGTCGAACTTCTGATCAGATTATTGCACTCGCAGGCGATGAAATCCCCTTCCCGCAGCACCGCGGTCCTCGGCACTCGCTGGCCTGGGAATTCATCATGGTCTTTGAAGAAATTTTTCACTCTGAGGGTGGTGAAGCACTGGCACAGGTTGCCCAGAGAAGTTGTAGATGCCCCATGCCTGGAAGTGTTCAAGGCCAGGTTGGATGAGGCTTTGGGCAACCTGGTGTAGTGGAGGGTGTCCCTGCCCATGGCAGGGGGGTTGGAACTGGATGATCTTTGAGGTCCCTTCCAACTCTAACCATTCTAACCAAGATTGCTACAAACCGCTTCCCCGCTCCGCTTGCAGCAGCTGCTCCTGAGGCTTACGTGCCAGTGACAATTTCACTCTGCTGCTGTCACTACTTTTCAGCTCTTTTTTTTCTTTTTTTCTGTAATTCCTAAGAAATAGTTTCTACCAGGAGCTGGGAGCGATTTGCACGTTGGGCTAATGATAATCCTGGTATACAACAGCGTTCCGTCTCGAGGAATGGCTTACCCAAGGCAAGAGATGAAGAAAGCAGTATTCAACCATTACAATGAGCATGAAAGTGTAGAACATCTTGTCCCTACCCACGGGACCTTGAAATACCAGTCCAGAGTCCCAAAAATATCTAAGTCCAGCAGCAGAGCAGATGTTTTACCTTGTCCTTATGTTTCTTCATGCCACAGGCACTCATTTTCACCCACCCCTCTGCGATCCCAGCTGGAGTTGGACCATTACATCGCCTTTCCTTACAGCCCTATTTTTCCTCACTCTCTGCTCCTCTCCACTCCACAGGCCAAAATGTCAGGGGCCATGTCTCGGCGGATTAGGGCAGTTTTTGGGGCGGCAAATTTCTGGGCCATCGTCCTCTACAACATCCTAGCCCTCAACAGCCTGGAGTTTGCACTGCTTGTCACCAAGAGACTCCTTCTGACGGGTAAGATGCTACCAGCCTTCCCCATTGAGTCACCCTTGTCTTCATGGGGGGGGACACTGCTAGAGGAAATGAGGACTGGGACTTCTGAGTCCTCTTGGCGGCCTGGCCGTTGGCTTGTTATGTGGCTGCTCCCAATGTGCTTAATTATTGTTCAAGAGGTGCATGAAGCTGTCTCTCAGCTCACATCCTTCTTGTGTGCGGTCTGTGGGGTGTGAGGTGCCTTCCAGGTGTGCTCGTACAGCTCCTAGCACAGCTGGAATTTAGACTCCTTGCAGCAACGTAAAGGTCACATTCACCCCACCAAGGTGAGCTGTGAAATGGTCTCCTTGCTGGAGAAAGGAGTCTACTGGTCCTACCTAATCTCCTTTTGCTTTAGCAGTTGCTCCTGCGTCAACCTGAGAGTGACAGGTAGAAATCCTCATCCCAGGCTCCTAATGAACAGTCTCATCCGTACATTTCTAACCAGCGGATGGTGACACTATTTTGAAGTCTTCTGGAGCAGCACAGGGTATAAATAGCCATGGGCAGCCCATGTCCTCCAGCTCTTTCTGGGACAGGGCTGGCGCAGGAAACGGATAATGTGACGCTCTGGGCTCAGTGTGCCAGAAGTGCCTGCCCGCTGAGCTAGCTGCCTTTTGCTGGTTGTGTTATTCATGTCAGAGGTCCTGTTTTAGGATCCTCTGCTGTGGATACCAGACTCGTGGTTACAAATGCCGTCAGACCCTTCCTAAGAGGAGGGAGAACTCCTGGCTTTCAATCACTTACCTAGGTGACAAAGACGTGCTTCCTGGAAAGACACTGTGTCTCCACCAGGACAAAGCTGGGGTTGATCCTCAGCATCAGTGGGGCACAAAGCTTCCAGAAGGTCATAGTGCTGAAAAACAATGGATGTGGACAGATTGAATGGGCAGAAAGTCAACCACCAAGTCCGAGCTTAGGGCAGAAGAAGTTTTGGAGGTAGGGGAGTGCTCAAAGCCACTCCAGCATGTTCCCACCTTAATCGTGGGTGGACTCAGGCACCAGTTGATCTAAAATCCAATCCTGGGAATTTCTGTCTTCTTGCACTGAAGCTGTAGGGCTGGATCCACAATGGGAAATGTTGTTGGCTATCATGAACTTGTGGGACCTCCCAAACCCATCTGAGGCAGCAGTGCTGGAGAAGAGCTGGCCCCACTGGGCAAGCAGCTACACCAAGATGACCATGTTTCTCTCCATCTTCTAGGTTTCCCTGTCAGCACCTTGTCCATCTGGTTCATCACATACTGCGGAGTGCAGCTTATCAAAGAGCGTGAGCGCATCCTGGCCATTGAAGAGGAGAAGTATGACAAAGCAAAGGTGGAGTAGAGGGAGGCATCAGTGGACTTGTCCCAAAGCCTTATCTCCCCTCCAGCCACCGCTGCCATCCCCCCCAGCCACTGGCAGGGGCTCTCCAAGCACTCCTGACAATCAAACTGCTGTAGCTCACCTGTGTAGAAGTCACCTGGAAGGTGAAGGTCACCCCCTTGCTGCAGGAAAGATTTTCTGTAAGACACAGTGGGTGTCTCGCAGGCTCCCCATGCATGGCAGACTGCTGAGGTAGGCTCCCAGGACATTTCTTTAATACCAGCAAGAGCCATCCCCATCATTTTTCTGACCCTCTGGCATTGTACAGGCCTAGAGGTTTCACTCCCTTCTTCCTGTAATACTTGGTCCACCACCACTCAGCTCTCCTGCAGGACCTGTAGCCCATGTCTCCTGGAGGAGACTCTCTAAGTTCGATGGCTGGAGGCTTTAGGGTGGGCCAGACAAACAGATATGAGAAAGAGATCAGCTGGAGCTGAGCCTGCTCTGAGCAGACCTTCTCCAGGTCGCTTCCAGCCAAAGCATCCCATGTTTCTTTCACTACAAGAAATGGTCAGTGCCCACTGTCAAGTGTTCAGCGTCAATGGTTGTGCGGTAAGGACTGTGAAATGGCTCAGCACAATCTATGCCTACCAAGAGACTAACAAATAAATAGTACAGTCTTTATAGCAAAGGGTAGGAGGACCAGGAACGGCACATCGAAGAGTCACATCGCTGTCAGCAGCACGGTGATAGCTGTTATGACCCCTGCAAGGCAGGTCCCTTCAGTGCCAAGTGATTTAGTGCCAACATCAGGCGTAGTTAATGACAGCGTGGGAGCCATACCTGCTTCACAGCCATTGCACATTGTGCACAGGTCATCTGGGGAGCTGGCATGCCAAAGAAACACAACACATGGCTCACAACTGTTTGGTCCCCAGACCCCAACTCAGACCCAAAGGGCCCTCCGCTGCTGAGTCTGAGACCAACGTGGCCACCATGACCATCCTGCCATGATACATGTCCTGAGACTCAAACTGAATCCCACTTGCATTTTTGACGTGCCATGGACGAAGGTTTAAGCTCGCATTCTTGCCAATGGCTGAGGAGTAGAAGATGCTGTAGCCAACTCTTGCTCATCTCCATCCACCCATCCCTTTACTCAACTGACGTCGGTGCACACAGCCTAAGCCCGTGACTGCACGGCTGAATGAGCGCACACACATATGGACAATCAAAGGAGAAAGACCCTGAATGAAAGGCAGTGATTTGGGACTCTGGCAGGAGGGAAGCCCATGATGGACTCCTTGGAGAAGCAGACTTTGGGACACTGGATAGTGAGTGCGTTGAATAAATGTATGTGTGTGAAACGTGGTGCCTTGGGGAAAAGATGGGTTAATCATTGAAAAATAGCTCTGTCTGTCCTGCACTTTAGAGCAACTTTCGGTGGCCTTATGTCTGAGTCGTGTTGATGTTTGGTGAGGGCAGAATCTGGACCACTCTGTGACGTGCGTTGAGACGCTTGGTGCTGGTGTGTTCTGGCTTCCCTGTGGATGAAACAGGATTGGTTCCCAGACAGCTTTCAGCTCTGCCAAAGTAATTTGTGAAGTTCCTGATAAGTGTTGTTTATTTATGTAGTAAATAAACGTTGGAAATCTGTGGCACCCGTTATGCCGCTGTAATGCAGGTGATGCCCTGGGTAACGCGCTGCCATCAGAGCTGAGAGACACAAGGATCTGTTTGCAAGTCCTCACCTCCCACCCCTAATCGTGACACAAGGTAAGACATTGTTGAGTTTGATAGAAACCCACTGTAGCGGCATCACCAGATTGGAGGTTTGGCTGCAGCTTGATTCATATTCACCTTTATTTTGACTCCACCTCCATCCTGGTGAAACATCACGAGCCTACTGCCATCAAACTTTCATCCATGTAGATTTTATTTCTGGGAGCCCAACCCAAAGTGCTGGAAGTAGCAGCAGGTATTGTGCCTTGGTGGCATCTCTAGTCACATCCCCAAAACCCCTTCAGCTACCAGGCACATCTCTTTTTAGCACAGATCTGCTGCAGGACCTTTCGTAGATGTTTCTTGGCATCTCCATTATTTCAAATTTACTCTTCATGACCAAAACAGCTATGACATGATGTGCTTCCTCCCAACGTAAAATTCAGCTCTTCACCTCCTTATGGGTGTCCTTGCACAGCTGAAGCCACCTTGAGCTGCTGAGACCAAGGGCTCTGGCTCTGTGGGTGGCTCAGTTCAGGTCCCTGGCTGTCTGGAAGGACAAACAAGAGTCACCCACCTCCCGCTGTCAAAGTGGGTGACTCACATGGCAAAGCTCAGTGACTCTACACTGCCCTCCTGACTTGGATACTCTGGGAGAAAAAAATAACCCATTCACTAAGGATCTAAATTTACCCAGCAGCTGCATCTTCTGCAGCTGCCAGAAGGAGCTAATCTTAGTCATCAACTGAGTGATTCGTTAGAGAGATGGTTCATGGGAGAATGTGGGCTTTGCCCCTCCTTTGCCTGAAGTTATCTCCCCGTTTATCACTGCTGTTAGAAGCCCAGGGGGTCTGGTGGGCCAGGGGTGCCCAAGTGGTGCTATCTCAACCATGTCTTTCTGTTCAGCATTGTGCAGAAGATCCTCAGCCTGTGCCTCCATGGATCAGGATTTATCAACTGCTCATCTCTCTCCTGCAGAAGGGTGTCTCATCTGATCTGGTTATTACCTGCCTCTTAGTAAAGCTTGCCTGAGGAGCTGAGAAAAACAATTATTTATTGCAACTGCAAATCCAAATTAACAGCCCTACGCTGGACACTTTCGTGTTCAGCCTGACAAGGCTCTAACTCCTGCTTTCACCTTTCTTGTTCTAAAACTTCGTATGGGAGGGAATGATCCTGCTGCATCGCATCCCCTTGGGATGCTTTCTGTGTATCCGCACCAATTCCCATCTTGTGGAGAGACTATTGCCCACTTAGAGACACACTTAACTGACTTAGTCCATCAGTCATTGGAAATCACTAGTGATCATCCCATTAGACCTGGGGCCAACTAGCTGAGGGCTATCTTGGACCAGCCCACCTCATTCAGGGCTGTGCTGTCTATTACACAGCAGCTGGCACTCTCAGGGGAGTACCCTGGGAGAGATGATTTGCCCATTCCTGTGTTTGCAGAGGTACCCAATGGTAGCTATGGTCACTGCTCACCCTTATCGCATCCACACGTGCCGTCTCATCTGCTTTTAGATGCTAAATTCCTTTGGGCTTGACTGATAATTGTTTGGAGACCAGCTTACCTTAGTGGTGACACTTTGTACCCAGCAAATGGAAAATGGATGGAACAAGTCTGCTGTGATCAAAGCCTCCACAAGAGATCATTGTTGCTGAGAGCTCAGAATTGATGGTTGCCTCAAATTCCACTGCTATCATCAGAGAATAAGTCTCCTGTAGCAATCAGATGTGGCCTTGGATCTCCAGTCCAGCAAGGCTCAGACCAAGCCCCTCAAAAAATCCTATTGACTTCCCTGAGCATAATGGCAATGACCAACCAGAGTGAACAAATGAAAACCAGGAATGAGGGAAGACACACAGGTGAGGAAAAAATACTCTGCTTGACATCCAGAGTGGAAGCACGTAACCTAAAATGTAAGAAGGAAAAGAAATCTGAACACCAAATACTCAGTGGATGAGAGGATCTGAAGCTTGTGGATCTCAGATGCAAAAGCATGGAATCATAGAACGGTTTGGGTTGGAAGGGACCTTAAAGATCATCTAGTTCCAATCCCCCTGCCATGGGCAAGGACACCTTCCATTAGATCAGATTGCTCAAAACCCCATCCAAGCTGGCCTTGAACACTTCCAGCACTGCTGGCTTTTCACGCCCAGCCCCAGGAGGGTTCAGGAGAGGTGCACAGTGGCTCTGAGAGCACCTCAGGTCTCCCCATTAGTGCCATGTGAGCCTCCCCATGGTGCAGATCTGTTCAGAGGGTTTGAGCCCACCAGGTCAACCCTCTGTCCCACCAGGCTGTGGTAGAAACTTATCTGGGGAGGAATCAGTCTTATTTGAGATGAATGCACCCGTGCTCAGGAGCCAGGGAGGTTCACAGAGCATTTGAGGTCAGGGTTAACACTTAGGTGACAGACTGTGTGTTCAGCCTGGGCCATATATGTGATCATCTACATCTGTTTTGATGACAGGACTTAGGATGGATGCTGCTGTATTGACCTTATAGCAAAAAATGGTGGAAATATAAGGCAGGGGGATCACACTTCTAGGTGTTGCCATAAGCCATGGTGAGGAGATCATCCCAGCACTGTTGGTGTTAGGCATCACTGGGAACAGTTACAGGTGTCTGGCCTGAATTAATGATTTAAACTCTCTCTAGAGTGAATGGGGACAGATGGACATCACTGGAGTACTCTCATCTCAGGGAAGTGTCTAACTGAGGTGCAGTGAGCCAGCTCTCAGAGATACCTGTCTTTCCCATGGCTGTAGGGAGCCTAAATGACACAGTGCACCAAGGAGATGGTGTCTCCAGGACTGCTTCTCCAAACCTTGGAGCCGGTCCAGCCGCTGTGCAAAGCCACTGAAGCTGATGAAGACCCCAGAGCAGGTTTGGGACCGGCATGGTGGTCTTTCCCTGGGTGGACCGCAAACATGGGAGAAGCCACAGAGCCACTGATCAGTTGAGAGGAGATCTGGGAAGGGATGGGCTGTAGCTGCCATTTTAGCAGCAGCACATCGTGACATGGGGAATGTGGAAGCGAACCTCGGGTGGGAGCAGATGCCGAGCAGCACAGCGAAAAGGAAAACAAGCCAGAGCTCAAGGGAGATTAAAGGCAGAAGGGGAAAAATCCCAGCCGGTAGCATGACAACGCAGGATTAAACTTGGGAAAGTGCAGAGCTAATGCAGAGGGAAAGGAGAGAGGAGGACGGGGTTGTCCAGCCCCAGAGGTCTGGGAGCAGAGGAACGTTTCTGAAACTCGACTCAGTTCAAAGATCAATGTTTGTCGTCTGACCCCGTCACAGATGAGCAGCACAGCAGAAGGGCTTATGATGTGAGCTCCGAAAACAGCTTGTGATTATTTCCCTGCTATATCAGTACCTCGCAGATGCTGCTGGAACCTCACCAGTGCAAAAGGGCTTCGTACCAGTATAGCTCCCTCCCTTGTCCCACTTATGTAGATAACCATCATGGCACAAAGCACTTTTATAAGTATATCCATGCCAGGGTAAGGGGTTATGTGGCTCTAAATAAACCAAGAAGAGTGGCTAATATCTTTGCAAAGACTTCATTAAATCGTTAATTAAATCTGTGCCATCGCTGAGTGCCAGCCAGCCCAAAGGGTCCATAGTAAGGGAGATAAAAAAAACCAGATTTATGTGTAAGTTTTGCCATAGGTTTAAATAATTATAGCTACTCTGCTCATCCATGTCTGTCAAAACTAATTTGCTTCTTCATGAGCTCCATGAGAAGAGCTGGACCTGGACCTTTTGATGGCATTTGAGGCCCTCTGGGGCTTCCTAGACATCCACGGGCATGCAAGCAGAACACAAGACCTGCTGGAGACCTCAGCCTTTCTGAAACATCAGCTCAAGGCCAGGCAAGTTGTCCTGCTGCAGCTCTAGACTTTGACATGAGGTTGTTGAATCTCAGTAGACCTTAATAAGAGACCCTTGACTCACAAGAAGATAGCTGTGTTTGGATGTCTTAATCTGTGAGTTTGAAGCCCACCGTTGTCGCCTCTTTACTTCTGTTCTGCCTCAGACCCTCTCTCGGTCAGCAAGACGTGGAGAAGATGGATTTATTAATGACAAGGTGTTCAGACACTGTGCCACTGGGGCTCTTGCACGGATTGCAGACAAAGCAGATCCATCCCTCCCCCAGGCTCCTCGAGCCTCCTCCTTCAGTGAGACTTTTTAAGTAACTTCCAGCATGGGTCCCATAGCCCTTACAGGGGAGTAAATAAATCGCTCTGTCTTCATTTTCCACCCCCTTCCAGACCTCTGAAAACTGACTCCAGAGGAGAATAAAGGACAAACCTGTGCAGAAGAGCAGCCCTGGGAGCGAGCTGGCTGGAGTCAGGGATGCCACGAAGCCCACATAAGACGCTCCCTTATTGCATCTTTCCAGCTTTGACTTCACGGTCTATTTTTAGCACAGCAAAAGGTTTAGTAGTTTCGGAGCAGCTGGTTTAGCGGCGTCGGGAGAAGGTCCCAGCCCAGCCATTCATGACCCAGAAGGCAGATTCGGATGTTTGCTTCATCGGGAGGCTCTTTCCCAAGCACGGCGGCTGAGCCGATGGGTCGCACGCGTCTCCCGTCATGGGATGGCAGCAGAAGCTCCTGCTCCCCCCGCGGTGACTCAGGGGCTGACAGACCCTTCCTGAAGCATCGAGGCTGGAAGTACAGCTGTTCCCCCGTCCCCCTCCCTTCCTCCTTGTCCCATGTGTCATATTAAAGGGTGATCGGCTTACACATGCTCCAGTATGGATTCCTTAAGCTTTGTAACGCTGTGGCTATATATAAAGCCCTACGCTGGAAACTGAAGTACACAGACAGCTGCCAGAGTAGCAAGCGTTTCACATTCCCAGTGTGCTGACGGTCTGGAAGCAAGGGAGACCCACGAGTCCTGCTTTGAGCAAGTTTCTTTACCAGGGACTCAGATATAGATATATTCATAAATTTATATTCAAGAAGGATCGGGGAAAAAAGGAGCGGTTACTCTTCACCATGGGTTTGCCTTTTGATCAAGTGGAAGAACTGCGTCTCTACCAGCAAACTCTCCTCCAGGATGGACTCAAAGACATGTTGGACCACAATAAGTTTCTGGACTGTGTCTTAAAAGTCAAGGGGAAGGAGTTTCCCTGCCATCGGCTGGTGCTGGCAGCTTGCAGCCCGTATTTTCGAGCAATGTTCCTCTCAGACATGGAAGAGAGCAAGAAGAGGGAGGTTAGTTTGGAAGATGTTGATCCAGACGTCATGGGCAAGATCCTCCATTACATCTACACCTCTGAGCTGGAGATCACAGAGCAGAACGTGCAGGACATCTTCTCTGTGGCTAACATGTTCCAGATCCCCTCCATCTTCACTGTCTGCGTGTCCTTCTTGCAGAAGCGGCTCTGCCTCAGCAACTGCTTGGCTATCTTCAGGCTGGGCTTGATGCTGGATTGTGCCCGGCTAGCTGTGGCAGCTCGGGATTTCATCTGCGATCGCTTTGCTCTGGTCTCTCGAGACGAGGAGTTCTACCAGCTTTCACCCGATGAGCTTATTGCAGTCATCTCCAGTGACTCCCTCAACATCGAGAAAGAGGAGACTGTCTTCGAAGTAGTGATGAAGTGGGTGGGGACCAAGGACCATGAGAGCCGGCGGAAGGCCTTGCCTGTCATCTTTGAAAGCATCCGCTTCCGCCTCATGCCCAACGACTACATCAAGGATCACGTGGAGAAGCACGCCATGGTGAAGTCCAGCCCGGAGCTGCTCAAGAAACTTCAGATGGTGAAAGATGCCCAGAAAGGCAAATTCACTGTGGTGAAGAAGAAGAAAGTGAAGAAAAGCAGTGAAAAGGAAGCGAAAGACAATGTTGTCAATGGAGCAGTAGAAGAGGAGGAGGATACAGAGGAGGATGCTCTCCCAGGGATCTTAAATGACACAATGCGCTTTGGGATGTTCCTCCAGGACCTTATTTTCATGGTGAGCGACAGTGGAGCAGTGGCCTATGATCCCACTGCCAATGAGTGCTATTTTGCCTCCATGTCTACTCAAATCCCAAAGAACCACATCAGCCTGGTGACCAAAGAGAATCAGATCTTCATTGTCGGAGGACTGTACTACAACGAGGACAGCAAAGAAGATCCCATGAGTTCCTACTTCCTACAGGTACTCACTTTATCTTTCTTTTGGTTCTTTGACCACTTCGGAGCATCACCAGTCTTTAGCTTCCATGTGATGCCTGTAATATACATTGTCATGTGATGTTAGAAAGCTGTAAATGAAGGTGAAACATCTGAGCTGTTTTACTACAGGTTCTTCTCCCTATATTTTTAGGGCAGTTCCCACTGAGGGGGGGGGGGGGTTCTAGCCATTGAGGAAGGAAGCTTGAAGGGGTAGGTATGGGAATAACCCCTCCTGATCCAAGTCATGAATAGGGGGCCATGCTGAACAGTGTATTTGATCCAGCCCTGGCTGCCATAGGGCACACTAACTGGAAGGTTAGTGGCATCAGGTCTGGGTTCAGCTTTGAACCTTTTATGTTCCCTGGATATGAACCCCCCAGCAAAACCCAAGGGTGACTGCCAGGTGCTGAGAAAGGGAACGAGAGCATCTACAGCCACAGGGCAAACACTCCAAGGGCAGAGGCTATGTCCCTGCCTACCACGTCCAGTGCTGTTCTTGCCCCTGGAGGTGTGCTGGGTCCAGCTCAGAGACTCTGGCTATTTCCATCATGTGCAGGGGAAACCTTGGTGTGAAATCTTTTGGGATCCTCCACAAGAAAAGTGACTGTTCTAACTCAGCAGTAACCAAAGCTGTGATCAAATCGGGCTGTGCACAGGCAATCTGAGCCCTGCCCTAGGCTGTAACCCAAGAGCACCTTCCCT